AGGCATACCCAGCCCATTTTGATACCCCCCATTTCCAGTTTTCATGCTCACCAGTGAGAACCATAATCCATCTGGGGTGTCCCCTTAGCTCCCTGACCAGGCCTGCTCCAAGCCACAGATTTCAATGTGTTGGTGGTACTCTGACCTAGTCTGGCAACAGCTCAACTCCCATCTTGTCCTTAGCCATCACATGCTGCAGCCTGGCCCAGTCCAATCTGCCCCCATCGCTGACTTTTATGCAAACGGGTAGGTGTAATAGCCTAACCCAGCATTGCCCACATCCCATCCTGACTCCTGTACATGCCAGTGTGCTGTGTTTTGGTTGGGCCTTGCCCAGTCCGCCCCACCAAACCCTCAAACCAGCCCACACACTTGCCAACAAGTGGAGCAGCTTTGCCCAGCCCAACTAACAACCGGCCCTGAATCATGTACTCACTAGGGGCAGCTATGACCCAACAGGGGAGTTTCCCAAGTTCCTCTACCAGCCCCACTTGCAAACCCAAGTCCCACCCGTGCCAGTTGTTGCTAGGTCTTTATCGGCCTTTGTGTGAGCTTGTAGATGTTGCGGCCCAGCCTGGACCACCTCACACTCAATTCCTGATGTGCCTACAGTTACCACAGTCTGGACCAGTCTGGCCTATTCCTAACCCCAGTATGCATGAGTGTCTTGGGGTTCTATGGTCATGCCTAGCTCAACCCATTATTACCACCAGCTCTTGAGCAAACCAGAGAATTTTGAAGTTCTACAGGGTTGATCCTACATATCCCCCACCGAATATGCTCCCAGGCCTGGTTCTCTCATGTGCTGGTTACCGTCATGGCCCTAATGTTTCCTATTTCCTGTTCTGACACTCATTGGTGGTTACTGTGATCTAGCCCTGCTAGGTAGGTCCTCAGTCCTTAGCTTTAGTGTGCAATGGTGGGTGGTGGTCTGTGGTGGTCAATTCTAACTAGTCCAGCTCAGGTCTTCCACATGGGCAAATGCATTGGTCTGACCCACAAAGGTCTTCTAGCTTCGCTCCTCCAAACTGCTTGGCCTCAACTGCCTTGCTTACTTGCAAGTACAATGGCCTTGTCATCAGAATTCATTCCTCATCTGTAACATACTTCCTCAGTGGCCCCCTCCCATACATCCTATACCCCCTTCCCTGATCAATCCACAGCCTCTGCACCATAAGCATATGGGTTGCCATAGCCTGGTGTTCTGGTGGGGTGGCATGCTGGTCTGGAGCTCTGCCCACCCACCCAGGACTTCATTTATAGTCCTTTGGCACATGTGCCAACCAGGTACCCCAACTTTCTGCCCAGCTGGGACTGAAGCATGTTAATGAGCTCCCAAGCCCAGCCCATTAGCATACCACAGCTTCGGACCCTAACCAGCCCCCGACCCAGCCATCTGCTTGGGACCCAAATACACAAGGGAGTTTCTAGGCTCTGCTCCATTGGCCCCCCAGCCCAAGTCTCCATGCCCCTCGAGGACAGCTACACACTTGGCAGGTGGAAGGAAGGCTCCTGGGTTCCCAGATGTTATATAATCTGTTGGGGGAGACAGTTGATCTATTAAAATAGGAAACATTTTAAATATGCTATACCTAGTGTTTCCTGACTGCCTCTTGGGATAAGTCAAAGCACAAATTTCTTACCTATTCTCTATTCTCCAAACACTGCAAATCCTATAAATAATACATATATATATGTGTGTGTGTGTGTGTATATATACATATATATATAATTCTGTCTACATGATAAATTAGATTTGGAATAATTTAATTTATATAGTCCCTAGAATTCTTCAGTTCCCTTAATGAATTCATAAGTATAATTTAATCACTTTCACTGATAGAAGGGTCATTTATAAAGTGATTTTGATTTTGAGACCAAGGAAACAAAAGTTCTTATTGTAGAAAACATTCTCATGCATTCATTACTGCTGGCAATATGTTTTTTAAAATCTTGCAAGTAATTTGATCTTCAAAGTAGTGAAAAAGACTTTCAAAAGAGGCTTAGGCAGCAAAACATATACATTTTATTAACTTGCATATTCATGAAAAAGCAAGCATTATCAGATTCTGAAACTCCAATATTTACTGACAAAAAGTTTCACTGCAACTTACTTGTAAAAGTGTAGCCAATTACTAAGTATGAATAAATAAATGGAAGAATTTTACTTTTAAAAAATATTCACGTTAGCAACTATTTACTGAACTATTTTGCCCAGAAACACACACACACATACACAGAGTGGAAAAATGCAGCCTGTGTGTGCTATAATATTCACTATTTCCATAGATGAACTCAGTTTTAGTGTTCTTGAAATTGATAGTTACTGGATTGCCAAAAGTAATCTCAGTTTGTAATTATTTAATGAAATCCTAGGTGCAGACTGCCTACATACCCCAAATTTCCAGAGTAGTTGAAAAATAACAGCCATTATCATTACCAGCTAAGATGCTATGTGATAGAGGGAGAAAAGAAAAAAAAAAGGATAAAACATTCCTTTTGAAAGTATTTTTCTTCTGTTCAAGCTCTAACATACATTGAAGGCTATCTAGAGTTTTCCAGTCTGCAAGTTAACTTTGGATAGATTCTTCAAAAGCAGAGCTCTCTTTTGTTTTACAGAGTACCAGCATATTGGTGCCATGATTTATGCGAAATGTGTTTTGGCCCTGAAGAGAGAGTTTCCTATAATTTGGTGTAACAATTGCTATGAAGCAGCTACCGTAAGTATTGTCATCATATCAACATTGATCCGTGATAGCCAAAAGAGGATTATGCTAATTTTCTATTGTTTGCTAGCACATTTAGTAATTTTTAAAAGTGTATTCATGAACAAAACAGTGTCTGAGTAAAAATTCCTAGTGTGGAATTTGAGTATCATTTTCAGGAAACAGATTTGGGAAAAATAACAAAAGAAGGTGGGTTAGTTTATATCTCATTCATATTGTTGCAGTATCTGAGGTGATCAATACTGGTATAATTGGGGCAAGTGTTTGGTACAGGATTTGAAACACTCCTTGAGATGCCGACAACACATATCTGAGTGACTAGTTTTAAACCCAGTTCCACTTCTCCTTTTTTTTTTTTAAATTATTTATTGAAAGATTTTACAGAGAAGGAGATAGAGAAAGTCTTCCATCTGCTGGCTCACTCCTTAAATGGTTGCAACAGCCATAGCTGAGCTCATCTGAAGCCAGGAGTTTCTGGTCTCTCATATGGATGCAGGGTTCCAAGGACTTGGGCCATCCTCCACTGCTTTCCCAGGCTACAAGCATAGAGATGAACAGGAAACAGAGCATCTGGGACACAAATGGGTGCCCATATAGGATGCTGGTGCCACAGGGCAGAGGATTACCTTACCATCAGCCATCCAGTTCTACTTCTGATCCACAATTCTGCTAATATACACCATGGGAGGAATCAAATGATGACTCAAGTGCCACATTGAAGGCCCAGCAGAAACTCCTGACTTTGGCAGGGCCCAAATCCGACCATTGTGACCATTTAGGAAATGAACCAGTGGAGGGAGGTTCTCTCTGTATTTTTCCCTCCCTGTCTGCAACTGCCTTTCAAATGGATAGAGTGAAGCTTTTTTAAAAATTGTTACTATTAAACTATATTTGGAAGAAAACCAAGTTAAACACAAGTTTAAAAGCCTTCTAAGAAATTTCAGACAGTGCCACCACTTTGAGAAATGATCTGAAAGGTCCACAAATAGTTAAATGGTTAGAGCATAATACAGTAATTCCACTTTGAAGACTCTGAAGCATGTAGCCAAGAGATGAAAATGTATTCATACAAAGACTTAAAACATGAGTGTGAATATTGACATCATTCTTAAGAGCAAAAACATAGAAACCACCCAAATGTCTATCAACTAACTACTGCCTGAATCAACAAAATGTGGTGTTGGAATATTACTCGTCCATAAAAGTGATGAAGTACTGACAAATGCCATAAAGTAGATGAAGTTTGAAAACATTGTGTTAAGTGAAAGAAGCCAGAATCAAAAGGCCACAAATTTGTATAATTTATGTGCTGCATCCAGAATAAGTAAAACAATTGAGATGGAAAGCAGATCAGTGGTTGCCAGACAGGACAATTGATGACACTTTGTTCAGATATTATTCGTTGAAAGTATAAAGTCCCTTCTGTCTTCCCCTTTGGCCACCAGGTTCCTTATTTTCGCCATGATTGCAGGCTGTCGGTTTTTAAATCTATCATAGAACTGGGTGTTTGAATGCATGTGGGAGAAATCTGGTGATGGGCATAGAGTAAATTAAAACGCAACAAAGCTCATTGTTCTTTCCAAAATTCAGCTTTTTTTTTTTCTTAAATAAATGACTCTATTTGTTGTAAGCCTTTTGTTAATTATCAGAATTCTGAAAGGAAAATCACTTCTTATGTTTTCTGTTTTCGCATTGCTCTTATGGTGACGAGAATGTTCAGGGTTACTTTCTCCATCATTTTTGCTGGTGTCCTGCCGGTTTTTTCCTGGGAGATAACAATTTCCTGGAATTAAACAGCAGGAATAGTTTTCAAACTGTGAATACACTGAAACAAAACAACAGAAAAAGCATGGAAGTGCACTGTCTAGAAGGGTGATTATAGTATTTGAGTATATTAATATGGCCTATTATTTTATTATTACATATTTGTGTACAGGAATATGGTAAGGTCAACATATGGAAGGGATAACTGGGCTGGAGAAGCCCATTTGGTACAGTCTGAATAACTTCAATGAGCTCTAGGATTTAGGGGCTGTCTCTAATAGTGTAATACCTGGCCTTAAGCCCAGTCAGGTGGGCTCTGGCCTGGAGGTAAGATCTCGTTAAGCAGGTGGGTGGGGGTTAGGAACTCTGGATCGGTGTATTTGCATTTGGAAATGTGTGCTGGAAGACTGAAGTATTCTGTGTGTTGAGGTAATGTGATTTCTTTGAACTGGAACTTTCTTTCAGATTGTTTCTATCAATCCAAACTTCCCATTCAGACGTGCTCAAAACATGTCTGATGAGTTCATCTATTTTCGGCCTATTGATGCGGACATTCGGGAAGAGGCCAGAAGACAAAAACAACAGAAATCAGCTAAGGCCTCCAGTCAACAAGCTCGTGAAGGTATCCTTCCAAGGGACCTGGGGATTATCAGAGAGGTGGTGATGCTTACCACCACCCCACTCACTAAGGAGTTAGAGTGCATTGCCCTTGTAAGACCAAAAACTTCAGGGCTTCTTCGCCTAGAGAAAATTCCAATTAAATCTTCAGGGGTCCTAGAATCTCTTCGCTTAGACGTTACAGGAATTGTCAGTCCAGATGAAAGGGGGAAAGGCACCGCAATACTTGTTGCTGGTGTGCCTGGAAAGGAGGAGCTAGATGATACAGAAATTCCAACTTTGAAATTCACTGGGTTTATACACCTGGAGGCTTTAATAAATAAATGTTCACCATCCTCAGAATACAGTAACCCAGGAACCCCAAGAAATCTGTGGCTGGAATCTCCCGAAAATGCAGAATCCCCAGGAAGTGATGACCTAGAAGTAGCAAGAAGCATGTATCCTCTTAGAGAAAGATCCATCTTCCGGCGTTCCTGGGCAGAGCTTTTAGAAGCACCACTGAACAGTGAAGGGCTCCACATTCTCCAAACCAATTCCACAGAAGAGGCCAGGGAGACTGGTCACCTTCATCTTCCAGCAGCAGAGAAAAGTCAAACAATCACTCCTCCCAGGGGTCGTCATCCCCAGGCTTTGGAAGGCCCTTTCCCATTGCTGCCCCAGCAGCCCAAGCTCCGGCGGCAGCGAAGTCAAAGTTTGCCAAGATACTATGATGCCAGCAGCCGAAACCGAAATACAACTGAGTTAACACTGAATCCAGAGGAGACACGCTTCTTTTTCCCAAGTGATCATAATTTGCTCAAAAGAGGTAAGAATTTTGAGCATGCTATACAACTTCAGTAAATGACATATAATTTTCCAGAGACGTTGACTCTCCTCGGTAACTTTTATTTTCCAAATAACTACCTGAAAATCTAATTCTTTCTATCCTATAAGGTTTTTTTTTTTTTTTCTGAGAGAATTCTGAGTACCCTGCAGTTTTAAGCCTTATATCTGGAGATGATAGCCTAACCATAAATTTGATAAATTCAATCAAACACCAGTTAAAATTCATGGAGAAATGAACCCTTAAAACATACACATTATAACTTCAGAAGTTTGAAGTATTACATATTTCTTTTTTTAGAAAATAACTTCAGTTAAGCAGATAATTTTGAGAGTATGACTAATTCTGACTCAGTCACAGATTGAGTAAACCACGGAATAGAAATAGTTATCCTCTTAACACTTCCATTATGTAGCAACTAAATAACAGTTGCTTGGATTACAAAATAAATGCAACAACGAGCAGAAACTCTGTTGGTTAAAAAATAACAAGTAACATTTCCCATTTTCTCCTGCATGTGAGCATTCTAGCAGCTACAAAGTATTAACTGACAAATGAACTGTCATTGTAGTCTATACTGCTGTTATAATATTAATATAATTCATTTCATAAAGTGTTTACAATACATATTAAACCCTAAATTGAACATTTCTATTAACTATAAAGTAAAATTTTAAGGTGTCTAAACATATGCAAAAATACCGCTATGTATACCTGAGTAATGTTAAGAAGTTTTGGTTCCAACTTATGTTAGAGGCCTGCCTCCAGAACTTCCTGGAGACAGTATTATAAACTGGAACTTTGTTGAAAAGTAGCCCCACCAGGCAACTGAATGTAGTTTCAGAGAAAAACGTGAAATTTCACCCCAGCTTTGTCTGGAAGTCATAATTTGACCATCGTGCAATTTGTCTGTCTTTCTATGCATATTTCTGGTTCTGGGAAGTTATTTATTAGTGAATGGCATTTGAGCATAATGCAGTTTGCTCAGATCATCATATAATCCATTAAAATGTTCACACAGTTTGTTCAATCCCAATCTCACATCCAAGATTTCTGCAAATTCCTGATTGCTCCCATTCTCATGGTTTCATGCTTCCACTGGATTCTCAACTGCATTGGTTTCTCATATTACAAAAGGAAAACAAAATGAATACTAAGCTTGTTTGTTCCTAACAAAGCCCTTGGATCACCTTCCACTGTAATTTCTCATGTGCTACTATCTTCCCACACAGCACTCCTCTCACCACAAACTTTTTCACCTCTATTCCCCTGTCTTTTCCCTACATCTCTATTTTGCTTTCCCTCCAAATCCTAGGCACTGTGTGGACCTGTTTAGTCAGAACTTTATTTTCTCTCTGTCCATCTTTTACATCTAAAACAGTGTTGGATGCTAGTTTGCTAAACCAAAGGCTTCATACTGTGGTGCTATTGTCATATGATTCTAAATTATCGAGGTTGATTGGATCAAAGTTGGGCATCTTTATCATTCATATTCAATTTCTTTTCTATACATAAATCAATCTTCTATCATTTAAAACCTATTTTTTGCTGTTTAATTTTAGAAAATGCAAAGCAGAAGAAGAGCATTGAAGAAGCTTGGCACAAGGGCATTTTGTCAGGTTCCAGCAAGCATCCTCCTGTCAATCCAAGCTTTGAGAATTCTTCTGCAAAGTGCAATAAGATTGGAATTAGCAGAGACAGAGTTGGACTTCGCAGTGGCAGTACTGGAATTTCCTGCAATACTATTGGTGTCCCAATGGTTAATGTTGGAATTCCTAAGGGAAATATTGGAGTTTCTGTGAATAATGTTGGGATCCCCACAGATTTTCCTGGAGTTCCTAGGGGCAATGGTGGAGTTCCTTTGGGTAATTCTCACGTCTTCAGAGGTAATGATGGAGTTACTAGGAGGAGTGGCAATGAATTTCCTGGGTATAATGTGGAAACTTTCAGAAACAGGGTTGGAACATCCAGACGCATTGTCTCCTCTCCACTTACTGAACTCTTAAAGATAGGTGAACACCAGTTATAAAAGATGGCACCTTACAAAGTAGATCTGCTCAGTAAGGAAACCTACTATGACACTTAACCATCAAATTGAAAATTCACCAAATCTGACAACTGAGAATAATCAATAAGACAAATGATTTCAGAATGAACAAATTGAATTAGACATATACTTCTTATGAGTATCGACAATCAGAATTTTGGTACAAGATAGGAGTTTAGGTATAAGTTGTTCTTAATCGTAGTTATCAATTGTTTATATGATTTGAGTTGAGAGTGAATCGTAGTGGAGTCAGATGCTTACTTGATCAAGTTGAACTTTCTACTTGAGAACGATTTATCTATCACTAAACAAAATATCAACTAAACTCCACATGATATTGCACATCTCATACTCACAATAACTTCAGGTCTTCTTGGATATTTTGATGGGAAAATAAAAGTAATTTCTTGGTTATTAATAGTCATATGCATAATTCCGACTGAATGTTCATGAAATGTGTTGACTGAAATTTAAGGAACCAGGAAATTTGGCAGAAGATTCTTGATTAGTGCTTCTCTGAGATATCCAGATAAGGCCATTGAAGAAAGCTTGCTTACAAGAGTATTTAAATATTTAAATTTATTTTTCCGACATGTATCTGACAAAATTGTAAATATTTACTGGAAGCCTTAAAAATACAAGGAGACAAACAACTGTAGAACTGTAAATAGCATATGTGGTTGTGATGTAAATAACATGGATAAGATTAACAGCACCACAGGATGCCTAAATATTGCATGTTAAAATATTTTTATTTTGAAATTACTTTTATTTTCCCAACTACCAAATTAGTTTGTCATAAAAAGATATAGGACAGAAGGGAAAACCATTGACATATTTTTAGTAAATTACTGACTAGAACACCATTATCAGAGGGACAAGGACCACTTTTGATTGGCCCAAGTGATCAGCACATTATTCAAACTACACAGCAACCGTTATCTATACAACTTGGTTTTCAACACATTTCTATCAACAGACTCTTTACAGTTTTAGTGGAAGATAATGAGATTAATTCTTAGGCTACATAGGAGAAACAATCTCATTAATTCCTATTCATACACTCTATACATTTTGTTCACAATTTTAGGGCATGTGGGCCACGAGTCAATTTGTACACTTGAATTTTCCAGTTTTCTGAATAATGGTAGTTGTTGTTTTTACGAAACTAAGGGCAATTTAAATTATAGGATACCACCTAACCCCTTAATGTGCATTGCCACACTGTGCAAGGGGTAGTAATCTGTGGTCTGAGGACAAAGTCCTGCCCACTCACAGGATCTGTTTGATCTTTGAGAAAAGAGGTTCTGAGGCTGGCTAGTCTCCCTCTGTACACTCTCTCTTTCTCCCCCTTGGTTCAGTGTGTACTTACTGAACCAGGGCACTGGCCTGAAAAGAAAAGAAAAGGTAGTGAGATTTCTTTTTCCTACTTCTTACCATCCCAGAAGATGGGACACCATTTCAAACTTGAGTAACCTGCATCTTTCATGGGGTGACAAAACCACAGAAGTTGTAGGATAAAAGCTGTCATATACTTCAGTTACTGTCAATGCCTGATGGGAAAAAAAAAAACCTGACAGTTCACCTTGGTGAACAGATAATCAACGCTATATGCTTTCCTGTCACACTGACTTTGTGAAATATATCTGTTACATTCTAACTTTCAAAAGGAACCACCTTGTGTGCACAAAAACCAAACACAAGGTGGAAACTGAAAGATGACTTACTTAGAACTAACAAGTGAAAAGAAAGATGATAATCAAAATTAGGATTAGTTATACATAATACTGGTGTGCAAATGGAGATGGTCACTTCAACACCACCACCAATGATAAAACCCTGCTCTGTGAGTTTAATTCCTCGTGCTTTGTCATGCGTATATATTTGGAAATTGTGTTTAGTGGCTTTAAATTTAAACATAAAAACTGTATGTAAAATGGCCAGCTGCTTTTTCTTTGTAAAATTTTAAGAAATTGAATGAAATTATTTAAAAAAAATAAAATAGGAAGATAGCTTAAGGTGATTCTCGATTTCATAAACAACTTTTGCTTATAACATTGGTTTTATTCTGCTAAATTTTGTCAATTCAAAACAGCAATGCAAAGGATTCAGTGACTGGTAATTATCTTCAAAGACTGTGTCATGTTTTCTTAAAGTTTTTGTTTCAGGGAAATTATCTAGTATCCCTCAATAGTCATCATAATTTTACAGAAGAAAGAATAAATATCATGGAATATAGTGAATAAAAACTTCATCACAATTTCACATAAATTGAATCTGATGTTTTTGTTAAAAATGTCCAAGGATAGTATTGAAGAAAAATTGTAGGTCCTTTCTAATGTTCTTGCTCTTACCAAATAAAAATAGGTTTAAGTTACTTGCTAAATTCTATGATGTCATAAGACAGGAGAAAAGACTGAAATTTTTCCACATAATCTATTGAAGAAAGTACAGCAGATCAGAAAATGAGTAGTTCCTACTTAACTATTGTAATAAGCCTGAATCTTTCCTTGTAATACTCTAGAAAAATGTGCCCTGCTCATTGTTAAGAGATACAATTTAAGATTACAAATCATTTTACATTCAACCACCTGATGGTACTAAAATGATTTTTATATTTAAATTAAGTTGTATAAAGTAAATCCGGTTAAGTCCAATTGATTTCTAATTCATAAGTTTGCTATCAGAAGAATTTAAAAATTTTTACTTAAGAAAAATATTTATTATCTCTATTTATGTCCTTAAAAATTAAGCAACTAATCTGTGTTCCTCAAAGCTAAGAAAGATTGATTCAATCACAGAACACCTAAGAGCCTGTGAGATCTAATCATGTCACTTACACTTCATTTCAGTAGGCATAACATCAGGAAAATATTTCTCAAAATGTTTCATTGAATTCAAGATATTTTGGAAGCATTCTGAGTAGGAAAATAATCCACTTTATAACCATAACCTATGTGTTAGATTAAAGGGGAGTTAATAGTTTGTGAAAGAGTCTTCAAATAATTGAAAGAGTCAGTGTGCAATTGGAAAGTAAAATGAAGAATTAGGGTTTATACATGTGGTGTTAAAATGTGCAACTACAGAAAAAATATTTAAAACTGTGGCAGGGAATTCTTCATCACTAATCTAATAGTAACTGAATGTACAATGCTATTTCTTTTTCAGGACTGAGACAGTATAAACAGTGTGGTTATTTACTCTAAAATCCATTAACTAACAAGAAAGCCCTAGTAATTGCATGTGACATTTCCATTTAATTACTATACTTTAAATATGTTTTTGACAAAAATTCAAAACATAGCAAAGTGCTTTTACCAGATCATGTGCCTTGTTAAGTAACCAATTTACAAGCAGAGAGCATCACTGATGAATGACAATCTTGTGGAAAATGAGAGGAAAAAAGAACAGCAAAGCCAAATTAGAATAAAATATAGCTTTTAAAGTCAATGATGTTTTCTTTATTATTTTCAAGAACTTTTTGCTCTTTTGATACCATCTTATTTATTAACCTGAACAAAAATGTCTTAAAATGATTTCATTTTGCATTCATATTATTAAAATTTACATGATTCTTGATCCCTTAACTCCAACCCCTTCTCCCAACACTAACTTTACCCTGTTCTTTACCTAATGCCACCCCCCTACAACAGGCTTGACCTCTTTCCATACCCACAAACCTCATACCTACCTGACCCTTAATACTTTCCCGCCTCTTACCCCATTTCGGATATCTTCTCCATCCTTTATCTTGACCCCATGACTCACATTATTCCTCTCACCGTCTCATTCCATACTATCCGCATTACTCACTCTATGCCGTGCCCAGTCTCCACACTTTCAGCCTAGTCCTGAGACTTAGTCCAACATTCTTCTTTACTTCTCCTGTCTCAACTATCACCACACGTTTACTTCTTCAATTCCACCCAAACAGTAATCAGAAACTTGCCCAGTATTTTGACATCTAGAACTCAGGTTGGAGTAAAGACTAACGTAAAGGTCATGAATAGAGTACGGATGTCTGTTTTATGCTTTATTGGTCTAGAAAAATAAAAAACTCAAATTTGTATTTTTCCAGAATGTACCACAGTATCCCAAATTGTAACAACCATGATATTAAAAGAGCTGAGTCAAATTTATTATGTTAAAATGTCACAACCTGAAAACCATGTACCTCCTAATCAAATTTTTAGTAGGTAAAATAGGCTGATTAATACTGGTTTTTCAATTATGAAAACAAATGAAATGTGATTTCAAGCCTTTTTATTTTAATTTTTGATTTCAAAAATCCAAATTTTTCCTTGTTTCATATATTATAAAATGCCTCTCACCTTAAGAAGTACTCATTTTAGACTCTGAGTACATGAACAGATATACATCCAATTTATTCATCTAAATTGTAAAATATTAATGAAAAATTAAAATACATACCTTTTGAATTTACCTAGAGCATATTTTTGCTATTAAAAATGAATATTTCAAGAGTTTATTTTTAAAACTGACTCACCTTTAGTATATTTCATCACCTTATGTAACTAGTATTCAATATAAGCCAATTTCTCTATTCTTATACGTATATTAAAATCAAAAATCATCTTCAGAATAAAACTCATTTTAAAAACACAATGACATAAATAGTAGTTACGTAACGCTGAACTATATTAGAAATATCCACATCTAATAGTGTTGATCCGTCCCTAGAACCTCAATCGAATGAGGGTCGCCATGAAGATATACATATATTTTCATGATTCTTCTTTCAATGTATAGAGTCATTTAAAATAAACATACAACCATTTTAGAATTGGAAAGTTGAAGAATAATAATGACAAAGTTTATTCCATAAATCTAGCATTTCACTACTAGATAATTAGAATTAATGCCAATATAACACTAAATATGTGCAGTATTTAGAGGGATTTAAAGTCAGTGAAGAAGAATTCATTTAAAAGTACTATTGATTTGGAAATACCCATTACTGT